GGGGGGGGGGGGGGGGGGGGGGGGGGGGGGGGGGGGGGGGGGGGGGGGGGGGGGGGGATATCGTTGTTGCCAGACTTTAGCCGCAGTGATGCTACGTATCTGCGCACCTCACAGTCGCCAAAACGCCTAATGACACACTCCGTCCCCGAAAAAACACAAAACTAAACAAAACAAATTTGACTCCATTGCTCGTTTTTCCCGGGGTCTGATGTGTGGAAAATATGAAAACAAGAAAATTTGTTTGTGTGATTTAGTAAGAAAAAAAAAAAAAACTTGCCTGGACCTTGCTGAGGCCAGCCTCGGCAGTAACTCCCGCGACAATGTTGGCGATGTCCCCCCTCGAGCACTCCGGTCTCGGGAACCGGCTGAGCCCCAACGCTATCCTCGCCCACTCCGCGTCTGGAGGGCAATGCAACGGGGGAATGCGGCGGAATGCGGAGGAATGCGGCGGGAAACCAACGACAAAAAAAAACGTTCTGTCACTCCAAAGAAAAGACGCAGCACCCTCACACGCGTACATAGCGAATGGCCCACAAGAAACAAGGGGCGGGGCGCACCCAAGGCTTGTGCAGCCAACAAGACAAGCAAGTCCGAGGACAGCAGCGGGTGTGAGATGCGGCAGTTGCGGTTACGGCTCAATGCGCGCGAGGTGCCCTTCGGTCGCAACGTTGTTCCCCTATTTATGACAGCAGGTACACCTCGAAATTACGGCGCTTTAGACAACAGCTTCATGGAGGAGACACAAGTTTCGTGCACCCCGGTATCGCAACTCACGCTTGCATGCAAAGCACGCCTGCCTTTGCCGCACGCAGCACACTCGTTCTCTCCCTCTTCTGGCGGTGGGGCGGGTCGACCATTGCCCCGAAGCACTCAAGATAATGAAGGAAAACGACGAGCAAATGAAAGAAGTGCCATCGGAACTGAAGCCACACATGCGCCCGATCAGAGAACAAATTTTCCAGTTTTCGTACGCTGAAAGACTGAAGGCTGTTCACTGGTCAGCCGGGTAGCACGGCCGATATCAACAAAGGGAAGACAACACACACGCACACACCTTGATTTTTACCCGCAGGCACCGAAGTCTTTTAATTGGTCAGTCGGTTAGCGCGGTCGATGCTACTTGTTTCAATACTATACAATTAGAAAAACACACATAAAAGTTTCTTCTCACCTGGGGCCACAACCCCTTGCGGAAGCGCCGTGTCCCCGACCCCCGGCTGCACGCCTCCCGCCTTCTTCACCTGCTCAATGCGGTCCAGCGTTGGGAACAGCGAGTCCACCACCAGGCTCCGCACGATGGGGCACACCGAGAGAGTCTCCGGTGCCGTGGCGGTCTGCAGGGCCTGGAGCATGCGCTCGTAGGAAACCCCTTTCGAAAAAAAGAAGACAAAAAAGGAACAGAAAAGAACAGAACAGAACAGAAAAAAAAGAAATATTTGAACAAAAAAAAGGAAGGAAACAAAAGCATGGACAGCAGAGAGGAGGTGAGCACAAGTAGGGATGAGGCGATGCGCTCAACGGAACTCTCTGGATACCAAATTCAGAGAGCAGAAACAACGGGGAGTCGATATTGGAAAGGCTCAAGAGCCCGGGAGTACGGACCACTGCTACCCCCTCTCTCTCGTACCGTTGACGAACTGGTCCAGGCGGAAGGTGGCCGTGGAAGCCCCCACGATCACGCGGCCTGAGGGAGTCGCATCCGCAAGTCCCTCCGGAGCGATATTCACAACCACGTCGATGAAGTGCGGCATCCTGAGACACGGGTGCACACAGACACGACGTCCACACGAACACAAGGCCGTGTGTTCAAACCCAATTGACCATAGATCGAGCTGGTCACAATTCCGCGACGGAAACGGAAAAAGGGGATTTGTGTTTATGTTATAGGCTTTAGTTTTGGGGACGCAACGTATCAAAGTCGATTGGTATTTACGCGCAACCACCGCCCAGACACAAGGCCATATCAAGCTCAATTGGAAATCAAGCACACAACGAGACCAGTCAAGAGCAATTGGTATGTATGCAAACAACCACCACATAAGCACAACACCAGTAGACTAAAGCAGTAGAATCAGCATGCATGCAGACATTAACAATGCAAACACAGGACCATACCAACCTCAACTGGTGTTAACCAAAGCGGTGCTTTCGCCACGCAAAACAATGAACAGCAGCGTGACAGTGCGAACGCAGTCACAAGCAGCCAAAGCCGATCATGCCATTGGTGCATGCGGGTGTTGCTGTCCCATTTACTGCTGTGGCCACCAGGTTGCACACCTTTCGATAAGCCAAGACACACTCCCAAAGAGGAGGACGGCCACACAGCAGTCTCCTTCTGCCCCTTGCTTGGCGTGTTTGTGTGTATGGTGCCGTGTATTCTGGCGCCAGTCAGTCTACACCTATCCGCAAAAACCCGAGCGCTTGAAAACACCTGCAGACAACAAGCTACCAGCGCAACGTGCCCCTCAAGGAGAGGAAGTCCATACCGGAGTTACCCCTTTTCCTAGTTTTCGCTTTGAAGAACACGAAGTACATCATTTCTTCCCATACGAGGTCCTTTTTTCGTTCTCCGTCTCTCTCTTCCGTCTCTTTCTTCGCAAGCGCTATAAAAAAAAGAAGTAAATCATGCAACAGCGGAACACGCATCTGACGAACGACGCCGTCAAGAAGATACGAGTTCTCATTTCTTTTTAAATTTTTTCGCCTCTTTTCCACGAGAGCGACAAAAACACACACGCACAGTTAGGCTCTCGCGTGACCCTCCAAAAACCGTGTATGTGCGGGTGGTCTGTTGGTTGTATGTGCGAGTGATTCTTCCAAAAAAAAGTTGAACCGACAAACCTGCTGACGCCGCCAAATCACAATTTGACTTGATATTAAAGGACAAACTTGCAATACGTATTACTCGCACCCACATACAAATTGGCTCTTGCTACTCGAAGAAGACCTGCTGACAGGTCAGATGCAGAGGTTTATTTGTCAGTTTTGCGAACTGACATCAAAAAGGCGCCAAAGACCCTAAAAACATGTGATTTTCGGTGCTTTCCACCGGCTCCCATGTACTNGAAAGTAAAAACAAGGCGATGACAGCCAAACGTAGTGCGGAAAAAGCAGCGGAGGAGGCGAAAAAAGTTGCGGAGGAGCAGCAGCGGCTGGGAGACTTGGCAACCGCTGCGGCGGAAGCCGAACGCGCGAGCAGGGTGAGGGCCTGAGCCTCAGCGGCGTCGTCAGCCATTTCGAGACGACGGTCCGCACGGTCGTGGTCCCCGTAGAGCTGGGCGCAGCAGCGTACCACACACACACTTTATGGCGACTCTGCTGCTGTTGTGCATCCCAAAACCTCACGCAAATATTTTCAAAAAAAATCACCCTCCGACACAGGTGTTGGCGGTCTGTTGGTCTGAAAGTTTTCAAATAGATGAGATTTCATTGGTCTGTGAGTTTTTTTTTTTTTTAAAATCTGTTCAAAAGTAGCTCCGTCAGGACACGAAAAACGCGCAAACAGAGGGTCACGCGAGAGCCTAACAGTTCATGGCACTGACAAGTATTTTGTGCTCTCAACCGCAACGAGACTGACGGCACTTCATTGGTCAGCCGGTTAGCAAGGTCAATGCAAGTAATGAAAACACGCACGCACACTTGTTTTCAACCGCACTATTAAGACTGACGTCTTTTCATTGGTCAGCCGGTTAGACGCGGTCGATGCTAATGACAAAGACGCACACAAATACACACACACACACACACACACACACACCTCTGAAGAACAACACCGTCGAGCACAGAACCGCTATCCATCTCGGCCTGGGTCGGTGGCGACTTCCCTCGAGTGATAGCGACGATGTCCCCGGCCGTGAAGCGGTGGTACGGCATCGGCGGACGTCGGACAGGGCTCCCCTTCGACTGCAAACAAGAAACAAGGACACGGGGTGGCACAGGCGGTTGGTGCTTGTGATGGGTGGTGGAGAGGAAACGGCGGAGTTCGATGTGGTGGGCGTGACAAAGGTGAACAAGACGAGGGAACAATACCAGCCAGAATCGGCCAGTGGTCTTCTCTGTCTCTACCTCACTCTCTCTCTGCTGCTGCTGCTACTACTACTACTACGACTGAGGTGGCATTTTCTCCGATTCTCTCTGTATGCCCCTCCTCCTGCTGCTGCTACGGCTGTCGCTGCTCTCCCATTCTCATCCCCCTTCTCTTACCCTGTTGTCTCCGCGCCGCGGGGGGAGCGAGAACCGCACCACGTGCTCGCGGAAGAGACGGCCGACCCTCGCACCGACCAAACCCTGCACGGTGTAGCCGCCGGAGGACAGCTCGTGCTGCGTCCAGGAGGTCATCCGTTCGTACGCCTTGTTCTGTTCATGCAATAATTTCGTTCGACACAGTTATTTTTTTTTTTGGAGGAGGGGAGGGGGGGAGGGGGGGTTGGGGGGCTCAGTGTCACCCATCACCAAGGTGCAGTTCGATTCACAAGATTCGAACTCAAACTTCTGCGAACTCGACGCGGGAAACTTGTGGATTAGTCATCACCGTAGACAGCCGCGGTTGGGGAGGTGGCGTGCGCGCAGGGTGTGTGCGACATGCCTTTATTTTTAGTCTGTTACCCATGCAGTTCGATGGAAACGACACACCAGCTCCATACCCCTAGAGGAGTCCGTTGGCAATATTTGTGTGGTTCTTACGATCTTGCCGCGTGCAACGTCGACGCCGTTCTACTCTGCGCGAGGCGAGCTGCCGCGGCATAATGCCGGTGGGGGGGNGGGGGGGGGGGGGGGGGGGGGGGGGGGGGGGGGGGGGGGGGGGGGGGGGGGGGGGGGTCCCGCAGAACAGTTTTTCCTCCAGGAAGGTATGGACATGCCAGGATTGGCAATTCATCAATTCACATCACGATTCCATCCCCGATGAGAATGAGGGGCCGATGGTTGGCTTGAGTGATCACAGAGGGCAACATTTACAATGAGCGCGGAGCGCGAAGAGCGACCTTTTTCCTTTTCATGCCACAAGGGAAAGAAAAGGCTCTGTCTACGAGGGGCCAAAAGTTTGAATTAACGACCGCCTGAGTATGCCCTCCTTCTCGACCAGAACCAGGTCTTCGGAGCACCAATTTACGATCTGCTGGCTTGTGAGGACGAAAAATACAGGGTAATCTTCACCACACGAGTTTGGTCGTGCTCCGACAGCAGATGGCCGTGCTTCACCGGCATTTGTACCCCAAAACCACAGGAGATCCTCGCCCTCCTTGTGGTGTGAAGCAACCGAGCTTTGAAAGTTGGGTCCAGGGGGTGTGGGGTATGTTGTGTCACCTACGGAGCCGAATGCGGTACTGTGTGCACACGAATCCCAACGGCCACTCGTTGCAGGTAGCTGGGTGCAGGAGTCTTCTCCCAAGCCTTTTTCTTGTATTGATGATACAACTCGGATGCAAAAAATCAAAATGGTGCAGACTGTCCCCGCCACCGCTAAAAGCATCGCAGACACATCGACCGAAACGCGAGAGAGTAGTCGGGTAGTCGGTGGTCCTGGTCGTGCAAGAAGAAGCACAAGAGGACGACACTACTGCTGCAAGGTATTGAGTCGAAGACCACCACGCGGCTCATTACCCCGCCGTGTCTAGCACCAGACGTACTTGTACATGGTAATCCACTCCTTGAAGGTTTCAACGACGACAACAGTGACAAAACACAGACACCAGTACGCGATCTCTCACCTCCTACACCCCCCCCCGGCTTCTGGCTCGTTCTTGCTAATTGTAGCGTGGCCCTGCATATTCGCTCCGTCCCGGTGTAGGGAAGCGAGGTCTAGTGACTACGGCATGCGATTACACGAGTACCCGGCCCCCCCGCCCTCTGGTAAAGTAGGAAGGAACGATTGGCCATCGGTGATCGGTCCTGCGGGAACAATGCTCCGTCCTCTCGACGACGCATGGTCCATGATCTAACCGCTGAGGCATGCAAAACATAAGAGTCCCCCCCCCCCTCCCCACCCCCTCTCGCAAGGCAGAACACAAATGACGGTGGGGGGCAACATCCTACCTTCTCGTGCTTGAGCTCCATCACGACAAGAGACGCGAAGTGAGCGTTGTACGCGGCCAGCCCGGCGTAGACCAGGGAGCGCTTGGCCCCCCGTCCCCTGCCTCGGCCCGTCGACGGCGGCGCGAACTCGGCCACGAGCGTCGCCCCCGCCGAGGACCCCCCCCGCCGCCTCTTTTTCCCGCCAGCGTCGACCCTGGGGTTGTCGGATCTCTCCTGGAAACCCCGAGGCAGGAGGGAGAGGTCCACCTGTGCGCGGGGGTTCAATGGATGGGAATCCTTTCAGAGGGGTTTGACCTTGAGAATTTGCCTGGCAACACGTGGGGGGATTTTTCAAGCATGGAAAAAGGGAGAGACCCTGCAGGGTTTCAGCAAGGAGAACCAGCTATACGGCGCTACGACTGCCTCAGGAAGGTTCGTATGGTCCCGTGCTCAAAACACTTACCCCCCTCCGTCCCTTCGTTGTGGAAAACAAAACAAAACATAACAGTACAGAGTGTGAACAGAACAGCACCCTTCGAGTTTGAGGACTACCTTCTTGAAATTCCACTTGGGCGGCGCGCCTAGAAGGTTACCGCTGGTGCTGGCTGCAAACGATGTCACGGGAGGGCGAGAAAAAAAATCCGATCGCGGGGAAGGGCAAGATCGAGTCGATCGGGAGGGGGGGTGTCAGCAAACACGGCGAAATAAGACCGACTGAAAAACGCGGTGCGCCCGCAGCGGCGACAGATATGCTACTGACTCCTTGCCACAGCGCCAAAAGGCAGATCTGTTAGCGTTGTGAAGCAAACATTTCGTACGCCAGAAAAAATTGCCGCTTGCGACAACAAGGTACACATATCAAATGAGAGCATAGTCGACATCGATTTAGGCAAGAGACACGCCGAAACATTCTCACAACTCACCTATCCTACATCTTTTATGCCGTAGGTGACGCTTGATTTGCACACACTGCCAAATACTTCATAGTTAGTAGTAGGCCCGCTCGGCAATAACACTGTCGCCGCTGCCGGCGCACCGCGTTTTTCGGTCTGTTCTTTCGCCGTATTTGCTGACACGCCCTCCTCCCGATCGACTCGATTTGCCCTTCCCTGTGGCCCGATTTCTTTCTCGCCCTCCCGTTCATTGGGGTGTGTGTGTTGGTTTTTGGTTTGTTTCGGATATTTCTTGATTTTCATTCTTGGGAACGCAAGTGATTTATATATAATGTGAAGACTATGTGCCCTGCCGCAACAAGATGAAATATATTACCAACCGAATGTATAGAAAGCACGCAAGTCTCTCACTACAAGACGTCCAGGAAGAACGTCACGAAGGCCGAAGCCAACACACCGCCCTCACGGAGTACCACGCGCTGCAACGGCGGCAAGAAGGAGAATCGGGTGGAGTGGGACAAACAATTTCTGATCCATCCTCTAATCAGGTGGGGTGGGGTAAGAAAAGTTTCTGGCCATCATTTACTGAGAGGATCTGGGGCGAAGATTCTCTCCGTAGAGGATCGCCAGAAATTCTTCTTGCCCCACTCCACCCGGCAGTAGGATGGGCCAGAAGTTCTTTGCCCCACTCCACCCGAGTCTCCTTGACGTGTCGCCCTTGCAGCGCGTGGGGAACCGTTGAGGGCGGTGTGATGGCTTCAACCTTCGTGACGTTCAGGTTTTCGACACCGATGGAAGACCGACGGAGAAGGATTTTGACAGCGGTTGAACACCGACAGAGATCTAGTACGGACAAACCAAAACACTCTCACTTCTTGGACGCCCAAGAAAAGAGGATAAATTCGCTCCTCAAGCGGACGAAACCAATATCGTACATGTACCTACAAACGCCACGCGATATACGCTGGACTGCTGTTTTGTTGGCTGCGAAAGGAATAAGCAAACATCAGCTCAGCGGCAAGCGTGCCGCGGGCGCGCCTGTGCGCCACCTTTGAGACTCTCTGCAAGCTGGGCCAAGTGTGAAAGAAAACGAATCACAGATTCCAAGAGAAAAAGCAATGGCACCAGACGAGGAAGTGAGGGTGCGTTGTGGGGCACGGGTGGTGATGTATAGGCTCATGGGAGTTGGGATTCGTAGCAGGCTACATAAGGGCGAGGCTGCGTCTCAGTTGTGCGGTGCCGCCCCTCATGAAGGCTGCGCTGCCGATTTTCAATCGGTACTGTGCATACGGACGGTTACGAACCAACAGCATCGTGTCAATACATTCAGCGCTCGATGAAAGGTGGTCTGGTTTCTCCAACCTGCTGGGGTCTACTCCAAGTACACGTCGTATGCACAGCCTACTGCAGGTGTTCGTCTTCTTCCAAAACATACAAGTGCCTACGTCAATACTTCATCTCCATCCACTGCGAATGAAGAGGCCAGGATACCTTGGCAATGACTATTCACATGCATAGGGCCTGCCTGTTCTTTCTCACGGATCGTGCCCGACAGGCTGCTGTAACGTTCAAAATTGAAGCACGGCGATCTGCATGATCTAAAAAAAGAAACGGCGAGCATTTTTCTCTTGGGGTTTTCGAGTGCACAGCAAAGAGGCAGCTCTCGGGATGATCTGTCACAAAGCGTGTCGACGAGTTACTCTTGAAACAGCTGCTGCCGCGGCTACAACAGCATTGCTGCTGCTGGCGGAGCAAGGGAAGAGACTCCTGTGCGTGGCGCGGAACGAAATAGGAATAGGAAATAGGGTGCACCTTGTTGGGGCGGTATTGAAAAAAGGACCAAGCACTTGCCAAGAAAACGGGAGACAACGTCAGGAAATGCGACATACTCGAGTCTGCCAATGCTCTATTGGCGTGTGATGGGCATAGTTTACACCCCGCTGTTGTTGAATAAGCTGTGGCGTGCGCTTTGGAGTACAGCTCCTCTCTGGGTACAACAACCGCAGCAGTTTGAAAAGGCCCAACAGCACTCATCACATGCAGCACCAAGCACACACACCTCTTGCCGTGAACGTGCCGCCTGCTGTGCGAGCCGGCTGGTACTGCTTGCCAAAGCCAGCACCTCTCTCTCTTGCCGAGCGCTGCTGCTTGGACACCCCCCACACCACATCACCGACGTCGAAAAAGCCCAGGGGCTCGCCCCCTTCCCTCCTGCGGGTCGATGCCCCCGACTCTCCAAACGAAGCCCTTCTCGCTCTGGCCCGAACCCCGGGTCGGCCGTCGGCTCCGCCCGGCGTGCCGCCGCAGCCGCTCCTCCTTGCTCGGCCATGCTTGCCAGGCCCAGGCCTCGAGCGATAGGAGTTGCGGCCTAGGGCCATGGTGGTGGAGGTGGCTCGCGTCTTGCTGCTGCACCTCGTGCAGCCCGAAGCAACAAGCGGTTGAATCCGAGAT